TACAGTATACGTAGCAGAGTGAATTTGGCAGAGATGACTTGTGGTATAAGTCTTGATAGCATGATGTGTTGCAGCTGATGGGGCTCTGCTCTGACTTAAGCACACCTCCCTCCACTCAGACAATCAGAGAGAGTCAGGAGGCTAGGCAGAGGAGGAAGGTTTTACAAAATGCTTGTAAAAATAATAATAATAATAAAAAAGCATGGTTAACATTAGACTTGTTCATGGCAAAGCAGATATAAACAAAGGGGTCTGTGGTGTAACAACTGTCTGTAATGTTAGTGCTGCTTTGAAATGAGAAAAAAAACTGAATCAACAGGATGGCAACAAAAACAGTTTTTTAAAAATGTGGTCAGAACAGGTTGTGTATGTTAAGCTATAATCCATCAGTTTTAACATCTTAGTTAATCATAGTCATGGTCAGCTGGATTTTAACTCAAACATTTGCCATTTTGCTTAGGTGTTTAGGTGTGTTCCTATTTACCTGCATTATGACTTTAATGCATTCACAATAATCAAAGAATATAGAGTTGGAGTACAATGGTGAATGTCTCTCACAGTTGCTGTCTTGGCTACTTTGCGAAAAGGGAGGAACCACATTTCAAACTTGTAAAAGTGGTAACCTAGGAAGGAGATGTCGATGCAGATGGTGGTGCAATTTCCACATCACATTTCATGGGACACACAGATGCCAGCACATTTGTGAACATTCAAGTCTAGTGAGCATGGCCAGCAGGTGGACAACAATCACAGTCACATGTTGCAGTAGTCATTTGCGGTGAATGCCCTGCAACAGTTTTCATTTAGGACACTACCCTGTTCATAAATGTGTGTTGTGTGCACAGTGCTCTACACTAAGATGCATCGTGGATCTGTGATTACATTACCAGACAATCTGCACAGAACATCAGTAACAACCAAGGTCCAGTCCAGATCTATCCTTGGATTGTCAAGAGACATGAATCAAAGTTAAATTGACCCAAACCCCAGTCTGCAGCCTGATTTCAGCTTTGGCTTCTGGTGCTAGTAGATACTGTTGGTTATGGAGACAACATGGAGGAATCTGGCAAAAAACAAAAACAAAAACAAACTGTTATTATAAAATTATTATTATTAATTATAATGACTTAACATTACTCCTCTGGAAAACTGGCAATATAAAGAATTATTAAGAATCTATTAACAAAAAACAGTGTCAGATCTCTAGTGAGCTCTGTGTAGGCATGTAACAGTTCTTTCAATAGGAAAAACACAGCAGCCTCCACCTTTGTCCCTTTGTCCTCCATCCCTCCACCCAACCCCACCCCCACCTCCTCTCCCTTCTTCCAGTCCGGGCTATATTTTGACGTGTGACCATGGGGAAGGTGACCACACTCAAGGACTCTGTGTGGGAGGACTGTTCGCATCAGCATGTGGAAAAACAGAAGTTTCTACATAGATTTAGATACAGTTAAGTCCACATACATCCAGGACACACAAAATGAAGGAGTATCACATTTATTCTGAGGTCAGGCTTCAAAGCTGCATCGACATGGTGCATGATTTTATGTGCAGGAATAACATTTTTTATCGTTAACTTTTCAGCAGGATGTACTCAGATCACGGCTGCCCTTTTAAATCAGATCAGAGAGGGGCCTACATCACTGTGACCTCCAAAAACCCTACAGTATTGAGCGGCAGGAGTGTGCACAGAGAGATGGGATGAAGCAGAGATAGAGAGAGAAAGAGAACGGGGACTGAAAGCCAATGAGCTCCAAGTTATGCCAGCCTGAGATCTTCTTATTGAATTTGATGTCAAGCCCTTTAAGAGTAGAGATCCTGTAAGACAAACAGAGGATTAGATTGGAAACATGGCCTCAAGTCATATGTCTGTCTGTCTTACCTCTCCCCCTCCTATCTCTACCCATTTTCTATTTCTCTCTCTTTTTTTTTAATCCATGAATGTGTGCACGCCAACTGGAGCCTGGTTCATGTATCCAGAGGCTATGAAAATGAAGGAAATAGTTGGTTCGGTGAAACAATGAGGCTGGCTACATGTTTCCATGCAGCTGCCTGGAGAGGCTGAAATTGACAAGGCAGACAAATGGGAGGAGAAATGATAGGAGAAATCAAAGGGAGATAGGAGCAGTCATATCTGTCCCTATCATGTTTGTGGAGCCAAAATGAAGTCCCCAACGGCAGTTAAGTGGCTATTGCCCAGAGACAGTGGTTCATGCTTATCTGGATATAGATCTTTGTTTATTGCTTGCATTCAGGGAATGATGAGAAATCCACTAATGTTGGCATCAAGTCATATCTATAGAAAACAATGTTTTAAAGACATTCTGAGGTATTCATGAGAATTTGTATTTTAAAGGTTCCATATTTTTACACTTCTGCTGTGTTTTATTTTAAATTTTAATCCATAAGTGGATATGTGTGTGGTTTTAAGAACCAAAACATGAGTATTACACCTCTTCTCTCTGGGTTCTCTCTAGAGCTCGTGCTCAATAGGGAGGAGGCTCTGAGCTTCTTTCCCAGTGACTGAATAAAATATAGCTGATTTCACATTAAGAGAAACCAAATCCTGGAAGTTTGGATGGTGGATCCAGGTGTACAGGGCACGGCTGAGATCAGTGACTGCTTGGTTGTGACATCACAAAGTGACAGAAGTATCACTCATGTTATGGCTCTGTGGGCTGAGTTCTTTAATACTTTGACAATATCAGTGTAAAACCTGACCTATACTGACTGCTGCAGTGGCAGGTCAATGTAGTGTCAGCTGTTGCTAATTAATTCTAGAGGAACTTGATAACATGACAAAATTAGACTTCCCTATAGTATGGTGAAAGTGCAGCTGGTGCACTCAGCCAAGGACTTGAAATGCCAGTCATATGTCCTCTCAGTAGTTTCTCACTTCATGGTCAGTTTTACTTGCTGTTACATTTTATGAATAAAACATTTTCATAATTCATATTATATCAGTGTTTTGATGTTATAATTTTGATACTTTTGATTCAATAGATTTTTTTATTTATCGACATTTAGGTGAATGTAACCATGGAATGGAAATGTGTCATTTAAAAACAACAAAAAAGAATCTGTAAGTTTGCATGTTACTTTAAATGCACAATTTGAGTGGCTGAATGGTTACTGTATCTGATGGATAATATACAATCTGCTTTTGTTGTAAATGACCTTGTTGTTTGCATTTGTGTCATTTGTGTCCCCAAGTGTATGATATGTATGAAAAGAAAATTGTTAAGTACAGCATCTTTGGGAGGTTAGTCCACCAATGACACTTTTTGCTGTTTATCATCTGATATGAAGATATAGGGGATGGGGTCATTGTGGTTAGCTGCACCCAAACTCTTTCTGTTATTGGACTTTAAGGGTGGAGTCAGTGCTGCATCACACAATAGCAGGCACAGGGACAGGTATTGAACAAGGGGCAGATACTGACAAGAAAAAAAGAATTGGTGTGAAAATTTTCCTCCAAACTCTCAATGAGCAAGACCACAGTAGAAAGCTCCTTGATAACCCTGGATCTCTAAGTGAACATTCACCGCTGTCTGTTAGCATTGGAGAAGAGGTACCACAGTGATATTATCTAAACCGATTGATTGTCTGCTTAGTTGTTGATTGTTCAGTGACTATTATGTGGCGTTAAGTGGATGGTGGTTAACTAAGGGTTAAGGGTTTAATTTACTGTGATACACCTACATAATCTGATGAACATCAATTCTGATGATAGAATTTAGTTAATACTAAACAAAATGGTTGTACACAGAGTAGAAAAGTACAGTATGTGCTTTTTTTAATGTAATTAAATTAAGGAAGCTGGCCTTCCACTCAGAGCCACTGTACAGTGCCACGCTATTCTAGAGCCATTTTATGAATCATCCTCTTTGTCCTTGTACCTGAAGTGGATAGAAGAGCAACAGTCTCCAGGCAACTCAGAGGGAGGAAAGCAGTGACAGCAGCCTCCAGTCAGAAGATACAGAGCTGATAAATGGCTGATCAGTCACAGAGACAGGGGCAAAGTCTCTGGGTCAACAGTGGCTGAGTGGAATGCAAAGAGCAGTAGCTCACTATTTTTTTTAAACCCCACATTGAGCAGAGATCCAGTCTGTTGTGCAGACATACATGCACTGTATTATGTTATGTACTATATTATACTATACTCAGGCCTATGGTGATGTTATACTGTGATATACAATAATATGTTATAAATAAATTATAAATAATAATTATTTTATTTATTATATTATTATTATTATTATATTATATATTAATAATAATAATATGGAGGTATGTGTGGGTCATGGTTTTCATTGTAAAACTGTTGTCTGGTCTTGGCCTATAAGTGTGATGGCTGTACACTAATAGTCTATAAAATTCAAGTTTAATGCTAATATATAATCTTTACATTTTATCATCAAATTCATGGTGAGTGACTTTTGGGAAGAATGTAGGAGATGTCCTCCAGTAAGCCAATCTGTGAATATCAGCTCTCTGGTAACACTTGGACACTTGTATAACTACCTGCTGTTTGGTCTGAGTGCACGACATGTTTTGTCCCCTTTTGTAATAAGTTGGTGTAGTATTGGTTATGGTACTCTATGTTTCTGGTGTTGTACTGATCGACTCACCCAATGCCTACAGCAAGGACAAACAGTCCATTATTTTTTTGTTAATTTCTTTTTTTTGTTTGTTTGTTTGTTTGTTTTTGTGGAAAACTATACACAGAAAAAATAATAATCCTCACCACATGAAAATGTATTTCACATGACTGTTAAAGTGCACTGGGCATATGCTAGAAGAGACAACATGATTGTAATTCACTGTCTATGTTGCAAGTGGTAGTCCTAAGTGATATGACTGATGAGGATGTGTGGTGGGTGTCAGAATACAGTGATAATGAAAGTAAGATGCAGTCTTATTGTATGAAGCTCACTAGACTAGACCTACAGATGATTCTACTGAGGGGCAATTTGATGAAAAAAGCCTAAGATATTCCCTGCCAAAACCCAGGATTGAACCAGGGACCTTTAGCTCTTCAATCTACCATTCTGCCAACTTAACTATTTCAGCATGCAGAGCTTTCATCTAGAGGTTGTGAAGTGCCAAATACAGGTACCTTTCGATTATTTTTTTCACAGACTACGTAGATTATCTGCTATGATTTTATTAATTGCTTTAAGCTAGGATCAGTGCTCATACCTCAAAGCAATTCAGTGTATCTAGACTGGTTCATGGCTCTCAAGTTATGGGAAATCCTGCAGTTGCTGATAGTGTCTTTACAACCATACCAAAGTTGCAGCTTTGCTTGGCTGCATTTGATGTATGAAAAGATGATATGCCAAATGAAAGTAACTGAAATAGAATACCTGCAGGGGTACTGCCACACAGAATGACGTGATGCCGTGTCATATCAGAGCTACAACTCATTCTACTGAAAGGCAACCATCAACCATTGTCTAAAGCCTGGTTCACACTACACGACTTTCAGTCGTGTCGGGTCGCAATGCTGTTCATATTATACAACTCTGTCTTGTGGTTGGGATTCTTGAGGTCTTTGTGCTGTTCATACTACGTAACTGGTCGGTGACAGTAGTGTTCACACTCCCCGACTCTTCACCAGTAGGCATGGCCGACGGCACTTCTTGGTCTCAAAACAACGTTTTGTGTCGAAAACTCAAGCGAGAACCCAATTGTTTTGTTTTCACACCAAACATGGACGGGTCCATGAAGCTTGCAAAACCTTCCTCGAAGCCATAACGCTATTGCTGTTGTTGTTGTTCTCTGCTGCTCAAGTGCTGCTCTGGGTCACTTTCACATCCGCCACGACCCCCGTGTCTGCTCTCATTGGCTGGTGCTCTTTTCATGTCTCCCCAACACGACTGGATATTAAACATGCTAGATATCCAGTCGGAGTCTGGGACTCACCATCACGCTGTCAGCAAGCGCCTGACTCACATCTTTGATCTGTTCACACATACCGATCCAGGCTCGCAGAGCGGATGACTGGCTCACCCCAATTTCGGGGAGGGTAGTTGCAAAATGCCCAAAACTAGTCGGCGAGTGGCCAATTGGGCCAAAATCATGTAGTCTGAACAAGGCTTAGAACAGAGGTGGGCAACTCATTCCACAAAGGGCTGCCGCGGCTGCAGGTTTTTGTTTCAACCAATCAAGAGCACACAGTTTGACCAATCAACTGTCTGAAGACTGAGATCAGTTGGTTAAATGAGTGAAGTCTGGTGTGCTGCTGCTTGGTTGGAAGAAAAACCTGCAGCCACAGTGGTCCTTTGTGGAATGAGTTACCCAGCCGTGATCTAAGACCATGTATGAAACTCACTTGACTAGAGCCACAAATGTATCTACTGAAAGGCATTTTCTACTGAAGGCATTTTGCAAACCTTTCCCTGCCGAAAGCTGGGATTGAACCAGGGACCTTTAGATCTTCAGTCTAATGCTCTCCCAACTGAGCTATGTCAGCATACGAGGTTATAGACCTTGAGGTTTTCCTACTTTGATTTTATTCAATATAATTAGTGCACATTTGTAAAGCCCAAACTTCTATCATTGATTTGAGACTATTACTTTAAGCTACAATCAGTGCTCATACATCAAAGCAATTCAGTGTATCTAGGTTTGTTCATGGCTCTCAAATTATGGTAAATCCTGCAGTTGGTGATAATGTCTTTACAAGGTTGCAAATTTCTTCGGCTGCTGTTGCAGTATAAAAAGATGCCTAATGGAGTAATTGAACTCAAATCCTGCAGGGGTACTGCTGCACAGAATGACAAGTTAGGCTTTGATAAATTTACCTTGATTCTCTCGAAAGGCAACTAATCTAAGCATCAAGGTAGTCTTATGATTCAAGGGACTGACTAATTGGGCTTAGATAAACTAACCATAGGGACGCCATGTCCTATAACCAGTCAGGATTAGAGCTTCAGCTCATTGTACTGCATGGTAACCATAAAGGTAAGCATGTATGAAACTCACTAGACCAGATCTACAGATGATTCTACAGAAATGCATCTGATGCACTCATGAAAAGACTAGACTATTACCTACTGAAACGCAGGATCCAGTTCCATCTTCAGTCTAATGTTTTGCCAACTGAGCTATTTCGGCACACAAAGCATCCACATTGAGGTTATAGAGTGCCAAACACAGGTAACGTTCAGTCAAATTTTCATTTCTCAAGATTGGTAGGACAGACTGACTACATAGGCCTAGATGAACTGACCACAGTGATCATGAGACTAGGCTTGAGACACATCCTATCACCAGTGTATACCTACAGATGATTCTGTTAAAGGCAACTAATCTAACCACCAAGGTAATGTCTAATGAGAAGACAGCAGAGAGTTGCTCGTTTAGTCAGAGTTGTAGTCTAGACATCTGTTGATCAAGGTTAGAAGCAGGTTACATATTGCACTAATATGTTTGACAAACCAAGTTAAAATTGGATAAAGTTTCTGGGTAGATGATAAAGCACATGCAAGAGCATTCAGCCGTAAGCTTTAACAGTTGGGAGACAACAGCCTTGACTGGCTGATTTACCTTGATCCCCATGAGAGGTGCTGGAGAGGGCTTGCCAGCCAGAGAGTGGACCTTGATAGATTTTGGAGGGTTTTCTTGGGAGATGGTGGCAGCCTGTGGAACTGGTGAACAGGTACCAGAGCAGAAATAGCAGAATCCAAAGAAAACAGTGGTGAGGAGAAGACAATGGCACATATTAAATGCTTTTTGTGCACCAAATGATTGAAACAAGAAGGACAGGCTGAAAAAACAGTGGCTAGAAATGGTGTAATCAAGCTTGTGAGCAAGAATAAGATTTGATGACATATGAAAGTTGAGGTGACCCAGAATATATGGCCACTGTTAATACACAGAGAACTAATGCAGAATGTGAGGGTCAAGCTCTTCCTGACATAACTAAAGACGAAGTTTCATCAAATCAAGAATGAAGATATTAACTAAAGGGTACTTCCTGAAAATGAGCTGAATAAAGGGAATGTTGGTTATGACCACAAAGTGAACTTAATGTTCCATTAACTAAGTTTTAATATATATTCAAATAATCTCACCAAAAGTGAAGTACAGTCTAACATCTAAAAAATGTAACTGGGCTCATAGTTTAACTAATCCCAGAAGATTTTTGGCAGAGCTCACGTGCATCTGTTCTCTCGAAGCTGACAAAATCACACATACAGTACCTACGATCTACCATCTTTGTGTGGATGTCTTCTGCTACAACGCATTACTATGGAAAATAAGTTGTGCTCAAATGTCATCAATCATCCCACGAATGTTTGGTTTATAAATACTATCTGTGATCTGAAGTTGGTTTGTCACAATGACTCTTATGGAACCAAATGGCTCCTTGGCAGGCCATTTGAGAGCCTATTCTCCCAGTGCTGACACATACATACATGATTGCTTTTTCAATTTCTGTCAGTTGATTTCCAAATATATATTCTAAATGCAACTGGAAAAATGGAGCTACACACACACAGACACACACATACACAAACAATAAGAGCGGTGGCAGGGCGCCGCTCAGCCTTGCATCCCGTTGTGTCACTGCATGCCTCTAAATTATTCAGTGTCACTCAAATATTGATATGGAAATCACAGCTGACTGAACTGACAGAGACCAGAGAGAAAGGCTGCAAAGATCCACTGTCCTCATTCCGCTGTCCTTTTATTTTTGTCTCTCTGCTCCATTTGACTGATACCTTTTGATGCCAGCAGCTGCTCATCCTTATTTTATGTCCATTTCACACAGGATACAGTGAGTGTTAAAAATGATTGCTGGCCATTGAAGGCCTTTTAACAGAAGAGCGAAAAACATCTCCTGCAATTTTAGTTTTTGATTATGAAGCATGGCCCTGGCAAGTGGCCTCACAGTTAGCAGAGCCATATTCTACTGCAATGTGTCTTGAATCATATTGATCCAGCACTGTGTGACTCTGATCACAGAATCAGCTGTCCTTTTTCACACCTCATGACTAAATGAACACAAACTCACTGCAGTATCAACTGGGAACATATTTCACCAGCAGAATTAATACTAAAATGAGCATGATTGAGTTGTTTTACATTGTTGAGAGCAACTAGAGGGGCAGGACTGGACTGCCATTTCTATCTGTACAAACCATACAAGGAGGCAGCAAAGCAAACAATTGTTGAATGGTTTGTTTCACAAAGTTACAGACACAGCCCCCCCCCCTTTTAGAGGTCAGAAATGATAAGTTTGAAAAGTTAAATGGATATTCGTAAGTCTAACTGTGAGACCCAGAAGAACCCCCCCTTTGCAGCCAGGAGCTAACTGTGATCAAAGAAAACCACTCATAGCCACAGATAATGCTCAGAACAGCACCAAACTTCATCAAATAGGTTCCCAGCACATAATAGGAGGCATCAAACATCTGCTAGCTTTGCCTGGTTTCTATGGAGAGGGCGAGGTACACCCTGGACAGGTCATTTGCATATTTCTGAGGGGGTCAGCTGCATTTTGCTTACTACTCACACATTACTGTAGGTGACAGAAGAGTTTTGGATAACATCTTGAGGCTTCTTATGCAAAATCCTAAAATTGGAGTAATGACACATTTCAAATGATTAGCAGTAAATGAAGAACAGTGTAAGGGCTCTGTGTTGTCATATCAAAAAGCCAACCACTGATCTGTTCTAGTAGATCTGCTTAGCTCCTGGGGCTCTTTGGAGGCAGAAATGGTCCATATGCGCACTATGGCCTTTAGCAGTCTCCTCGTGTGTTGGCAACTTTGCCAGTATCCATGGCTCATGCCTACTCGTAAGACAGCATTCACCATTTCAAGTGTGACTGAAGATTCCCTCTCACACCTCTAAAGGTGGACATTATGCTCTTTGAGTGGGAACCTGCCATTCACCCTCCACCCACTATTTGGCTTTCATCCCAGTTCGACCATCTCTGTAAGTACAGCACACTCAGGCTTTCATGAGAATCAGAGCAGTGGGTGGTTTTGTGAATCAAGCTTGGTCAATAACACCCACAAGAATCATTTGTATATCCAAACCATCACATCTGTGATTAT